TATGATCCAGAGAACTCATCATAAAAGTTTCAAAATATTTTGAGTTCATTTCATAACTTAAATTGATTTTTAAAAATAAATACCCCTTTTGGCACTTAAATGATTTTAAAAAAAATCAAAATATAACTCAAAAATTTATGAAACTTAGTTTTTTGAGTTCTCTGTGACCAGGGATATTTTCTAAAAATAAAATGATATTTAAAATAAAAATTTGATTTTTAGCCTATTCTAAATATTTAAATAATTAAAAATTCATAAAGATTACAAAAATAATAAAACTCATAGAAATGTTCTAAATTGTTTCCTAATCACTTAGAAACAATTAGAATATTTTTCCTAAATCTCTAAATAAATATATTGAATTTCAAAGCTTAAGAATAATTTTTGAAAGGCTAAAAATGAATTTTCATTAAAATAATTCCAATAAATCAAGGAAAAATAAAAAAAAAATATAAAATTTGTTCCTATGAGTTCTCTGACCTTAGAGAGATTTTTCAAAAATAGAAAACTTAATTTTCACCTCCCAAAATATTTTATTTTTATTAAATAACCCAAAACTTAAAATAATTCTAATAAATCACAGAGAATTCAAAAAGTTATGAAATTTGCTCCAAAGGCTTCTCTAGTCTAGGTTTACCTCTAATAAAAAAATTCAAGGGATTATAATTTATCTTGGCCAAGTTAGGAATTTTCTGTGAAAAATCCTATCTTTGCATGAAAAAAAGTACATAAATTAAATTAAATTTTGAAAAATCACATTTTCTCCTCTGATGTCTCAATTGACCCATGAATGAGGTAGAATAAAAATTTTAAAGTCATTTGAATTGAATTTGACAAATTATGAAGCGTTAGAGCCTTAGGGGCAAATGTTTAGGCCTAATTCCAAGAGCGGAATGGGTAACCTCTGATCTTAATCAATTTATTTGATGCTTGAAACACAAAGGGGTCAATTTGTAGAAACCAATTTCACTTTCCTCATTAAAAAGATAAGTTAATAAATTTCTAAATTATTAAAATTTGGAAGTTTATTAAAAATAATATTAAGATTTGGAAGTTTATTAAAATTAGATGATCCTGGACTTAGGGGTATAAATTTTAAAGTCAATAATTAATCAATTTAATACCCCTATCTTGATTTTCAAATAAAATCCAAATCATGACCACTTAAAGCTTAACCATTTTCAAAACTAATCAAGACACCCACCTAGGTCTTAAAGGCTTAGTGGTGACTTAGGCTAAATCAAAAATTGATTCAACAAGGATTAGAGAAATAAACATAATTAAATCAAACATCCTTGAAACACCACTAAGCCCAATTAGGTTTAAAAATTTGGCTAAGTGTTCAAATTACACTAACTTGCCTCTTTACGGGTCTTCACCCACATGATTTTCAAATTAAATGATAAGTGATAATTACCCTATTTTTGGGGATAGTTGAGACATCAGTGCTCACTGAGTCATAAGGGCATTTACAGGATGAACCATTAAGCAATATAACAAGTTTAAATGGACTTGAGGCTTTTCACCAGTTGGTGAGAGGGAGGCATGGACCTGCTTCCCCTACTAACTTGTTGGATACCTCAGAGGCCTATTAAACTTAGTATTCTTCGCTCAATGAAATCATCCTTAATTAAACTTTTAGGGACTCACCAAAATATGACATAGGGTTAGGAAAATTACCAAAATTTTACCTTTCCTGCTCTTCATAAACTGCCTTAACATGCA